CCTTGATTTTACTTAACTCCCTCTCTTTACAGCTTCCACCGCCTCAGTCCTGCCACACTGAGGATCAAGCTTCCAGCACAGGAACCTTTGGGGTTGCACTTAAGTTTAGATATGTTCTGGTGTGTGTGTTAGATGTTTCCTCCTGCTTTCAGCAGTGCCAAGCAACACACATGCAGATATGAGTTAACCTGTGTGCGAGCAGTGCCAAGAAAGATGACCCTACTTTTGGTGGGCTGACCATGTCTAAAGCCAAATGCTACACAGGGGCCAAATGAAGTTATTATCATTAGTGGCTCAACGCTGCATCCTTAACAAGGTTGATGCTGGGTGCCATGTGAAGCCTGAGATGACACTAACAGTGTCATCTTTGCACCCTTACCTATTGTCTCAAGGTAGCCCTTGTTAAGTTTGGGGGGTTGGGTGAGCAATGCTCAGAAGCCAGTAAGTAAAGACCAGAGTTTCAGACTTAACCATCATATACAGACAATATCTTTGGCCAGTCAGTTTAGAACTGACTAGAGAACCATCTAGGCTTCTGAGGGAATGGTCAGCCTAGCCTGAAAAACTGTTAAAGCAATCTATGGCACTCAGATCTGCACCAGCAGAAAGCAGCATCCCTGCCAAATATATCCTCTGCTATATGGTCCTTGAGGGCCAGGAGGGGAAATCTTTTAGAGGCCCAGCCAGGGATGTGAAGGACGAGTTGGGGAATTCCCAAGGATAGCAGATCCAGGGTGCCATGTCAATTATGCCTTTCAGGCAGAGCCTTTCCAACTAGCACGGTTTGCTAATGGCCACAGAATGAATGCTATTGCTCATGTTTTCCATCCCCCTTTCTTCATGGTTTAATTTGCTCCACTGTTGCACATCAGGTATGTAAGGGCACAATGCCATTCATTTAGTTTATAAGTAGCTGATGACACAGAGACACCCACAGAGTTGAAGGAGAGGGCTACAAGTCACCCTAACTATTGGGGATCTTGTGGTGGTCTCCCTTCCCTGAGAACAGAGTGTGCTAAGTGTGGGATGGGTTAAGGCAACCCTTAGATATTTTTGTAGCAAAAGGAACGCACTATGTCAGGAAACTGTGTTTATCTATGAATTTGCTTTTTTCACAGTAATAGAATTTGGCTTCCAAAAATAAAAACCCAATGTCCCAGCTTCCCTTGAAGCTAAGTGTGGCTAGGTAAACAGGGTCTGGCAAATGAGATCTCAACCAATGGATTATTCATGAGTTTACAGGACTCTTCCCTAAGAGACGGCCGTTCCAAATGTTTTGAACTTTCTTTCTCCTCTTCTTTCTGTTTTCCGGGATGTGGGTGTGATGGTTAGATGGTACCATCATATTGGATGATGAAGTAACTTTTTTTATTGTTGTGCTGGGTGGGGATACACTGTGGCATTTACAAAAGTTCTTACAATATAGCAAATATATCATACTTGAATGTACCCCCTCCACTATGAAGTAACTTTTATGAATCTGGAAGCCACATATGATTAAACAAAATAGAAGTAGCCTGAGTCCTTGATGTTATGGCAAACTTAGTTCTAGTCTTTTATGAGACAGAGAAACAGGCATGCTTATGCCACAGTTTTTTGTATAATGTGTAGTGGAAGCTAAGTGTTCTCAATAGTACCAAAACAATTAAGAAATGCATCCACAAGGGCTGGAGGTGTGGCTAAAGCAAGCTGTAGAGTGTCTGCCTAGCAAGTGCAAAGACCTGAGTTCAAACCCCAATACTGCAAAAAAAAAAAAAAAAAGAAATGCATCCACATGCAAAAAAATGAAATTGGGCCCCTTTCTCATACCAAATAGAAAAATCAACTAAAAACAGATTAAAGACAGCTGTCTGCAGGGCTTCACACCTGTAATCCTTGCTATTTGGGAGCCTAAGATTGGGAGGATTGCTGTTTGAGGCTAGCCTGGGGGAAAACGTTCAAGAGATCCCATCTCAACAGAAAAGGTGTCTTGGCATGCACCTGGCATCCCAGCTACAGTGGGAAGAGTAAATAGGATCATGGTTCAGGCTAGCAGGCAAAAAGTAAGACCCTATCTCAAAAATGGCCAGACTAAAAAGGACTGGAGGCATGGCTCAAGCAATAGAGTTGCCTGCCTAGCTAATGTGAAGTCCTGAGTTCTAACCCAAGTACCACTTCACCCCCCCCCAAAAAAAAGGGATTAAAAGCTTAACCATAAGACCTGAAACTGCAAAACTACTGGAGGAAAACACACAGGAAAAACTTCATGACACTGGTTTGGGCAATGATTTTTAAAAATATCTTATTGCAGGCAATAAAAGCAAAGAGAGAAAAATGGGATTGTATCAAAATAAAAAGCTTCTGCACATCAAAGAGAGATGAGGTCACCTACAGACTACAACAAAATGTTTGTAAGTCATACATCGGATAAAGAATTAATATACAAAATATATAAAGATTTCAAGTGTATGTGGAAAACCCCTCAAATAATCCAATTAAGAAATAGGCAAGTGTCATGAATAGACATCTCAAAAAAGACATGCAAATGGTTAACACATATATGAAAAATGCTCATTATAACTAATCATCACAGAGACGCAAATTAAAAGCACAAAAGATTTCATCTCACACATGAGGATGGCCATTTATCAAAAAGACAAAAGACGAAAAATGTTGATGAGGATGTTGAGAAAAGGGAATCACTGAATAGTTAGTGGGAATGTAAATTAGTCTCCCAACCATTGTAGCAAACAGTACAGAGGGTTCTCAAAAAGCTAAAAGTAGAATTATTACAGGATTCCACTTTTGGAATATATATATATATATATATATATATATATATAGGAATTGAAATTTGTCTGTGGAAGAGACGTCTGCACTCTCAAGTTCATTGCAGCACTATTCACAATATCTGTTTATGGACTCAACCTAAATGCCCAACAAGGGATGAAAAGATAACGAAAATGTGTGTGTGTGTGTGTGTGTGTGTGTTTAGCCTTTAATAAGGAAGAAACTTCATTTGTGACAATGTGAATAGATTGGAGAATGTTATCCTAAGTGAAATACGCCAAACATAGAAAGATAAATATTGTGTTCTCATTTATTATGTGGAATCTAAAACAACTGAACTCGCAGAAACAGTAGAATGGTTGTTTCTAAAGACTGAGTGGGAAAGGAATGAGGAATAGTTACAGATAGGAGAAATAAATCTGAATTTTTTAGGTCAACTGCACAACATGAATAGAATAGTTGAGTAATGCACATTTCAATACCACTACACAGTAAATTTCTCATGTTCTCAACCCCAAAAGCTAAATATTTGAGATGATACGTTAATCATTCCACGCTGTATCAAAAATTTTAACACAACTTGGCATCCCATAAGTTTATATAATTATAATGTCAACATATAATAATAAAAAAGAAACAGATGCAGGAATTCAATTATAGTCAGCACCTCAACTTTTAAGTTAAAGCTGGATTAGAGACATGGCTTGGAGCTGCAGTCCAAGAGGCAGAGTTCTTTTAGCAGCCCTCAGGTGTTGGTCCTGAGCTGACATGTTGAGGTTCTGACTAGACAGCAGACCTTTGGCCAGCCAGAGGCCTTTGAAACCTGCATGAGCATATGAATCACCTGGGGATCCTGTTGGAACACACATTTTGATTCTGCAGATCTGGGGTGAGGCCTGAGATTCTGCTTTCTAACAAGCTTCCAAGTGCTGAGGCTGGTCCAGGGTCTTACCTCAGGTAGGATGGATCTGTTTCCAATGAAGTGAGTCAGAGCGAGTCATGGGCCCTGACCCAGGTATGCTTGCTGGTTCAGGAAAACTCAGACGGGGTGGGGAGAAGGCAACCACTGAGCATTTTTTCTACAACCTGACTGCACATCGAGTTCCCAGGAAGCTTCGAAACATACTTATGACTTGTTCTGTCCCCTGAGGTCTAGCTCTGGAAATGGACTGGGAATTGAGAAATTTAAGTTTGTCCAGTGATCCTAAGCTTGGAACTCAGCACTCTAGAAGGCTAATGCTCCATGGAAGTTCTTGTTTATGAAGTGGGACACTCTAAGAAGTGTCCCTCCTACACTCGATGCTGGGACTAGATGAACGGACACCTGCCTTGGGCTTTAAGGTTAAGGGGAAGAGAACACATAAAAATTCAGTAATCAAGATAAGTACTATCTTAATATTTTTTAAAATAAAAATTAAGTCAACAGGAAATAAAATATAAAAAATTTAAAGATAGGATCTGTAACAGTGCCACATGGAGTCATACTGGAATTTTCGGCAGAAAGGAAATTGATAGTACTGACCCTATAAGGCACACAGCAGCTTCCTATCCTCTTAAACTCAGGGGCTAAATAATGCACAGGTGGGATGCTCAACTGCCTTTGTGAGCCTCCTCCCAGCTCCCAACCACTGATCCTGGGACCAGTGATGGACAGGTCCACCCTGCCCTCAGACATCTTAGAATGGGTGGTAGCAATCCTTTAAATAAAGCAACCAAGGCAAGAAGCATCATAGCAGACATTTGAGTTGTAAGTGCTTTGCAAATATGAATTTATTTACTTCTCATGTTGGCCTTATGAGGTAGGGGCTACAGTTATTTCCTTTTACAGGAGTGGAAACTGAATCACTGGGGTTTAATAAGCTTGCTCAAAACTACACAGTAAGAAAGAAACTGAGTAGGGAAGCCCATTCAATCTGGCTCCGAAGTCCATGCTCAAAGCCACTTGACCAAAGATGCGCCCCTCATTTCATCACATTGGATGCCCAGCCGTGGTCCCAATGGAGCACAACAGAGCCATGCCATGAACCTCATAGCAACACCTAAAATACTCTGGAAAACCAACCAAGCAACCAAAGAATGACCAAATTTGCATAATGGGAACCTTCTGTCTTTATTAAATTTCAGGGGAAAATGAAGGTTGCCAAAGTAAGTTAGCAGTTAAAGGGCCTGGAGATCTGCTTGTCTCCTATTTTGGCAAGTGCCCTCCCCAGGCAGGTGGATGGATGCCAGGGTCACCGGATGGTGTACTTATCCCACTTCTTCTCGGGGTCGTAGGGCTCCCAACGGCTGGCGGGAAAGATGTGCTTGTTCTTCTCGTACCAGCTTCGCAGCACCACCTTGCCTGCGTGCGACTCATCCTTCTCCAAGGTGGCATCGCTGAGCAGCCGCACGTCGTCGTGCACGTCGAAGTTGAAGAGCGGCCCGCTTTTGCCCCTGGCCTTGGTGACGATGAAGTGGTAGAAGGTGTGGTAGTGGGGCAGGATGAGGTCCTCCTTGATGTACATGAGCTGCTCCACGCCGGCCGCGCGCAGCTCGCGGAAGTCCTTGCGCAGCCCCTGCAGAGCCTTCTTCAGGAACTGCTGCACCGTGCTGCCCTTACTCATGCGCACGGTGCGCCGGTGACCCGAGCCATCCCAGTAGCTGAAGGTGATCTCCATCTCCTCGCTCTTCACCTTCTCGCGCTTGGCCTCCCACTCCTTGCGCAGCTCCTCCCGCAGCCGGTTTTCCTCCTCCTCACGGTCGCGGTCGGGCAGGAAGCTCGTGTCCACGTCGGGATTCTTGCCCAGGTTCTTGCTCTTGCTGGCCTCAGCCGTGCCACCCTCGTCGTCCTCATAGCCATCGCCGTCATCCAGCGTGAAGGAAAGGTTGGAAATCTTGCGCTTGCGCTCGCGCCTGCACTCCTTCTCGCGCAGCATCTCCAGCTGCAGCCGGCGCTCCTCCAGCTGCTCCCTCTTGGCCAGCTGCATCTCCCGCTCCCTCAGAAGGGCCTCCTGCTTGGCCTTCATATCATTCAGGGTCACCAGGCCCACTGTGCTGGACTTCAGCTCGGCCTCCACGGCGTCGTAGTGAGCAGAGAACTTCTTGTCCACTTGGGACTTAATGATGGTCTCCTCGGCAATGCGCTGCTTCAGCACCTCCATCTGCTCCTTCTGCTTCTCGCGCTTCTTGATCAGATGCATGGCCCGGCCGGCCTCCCGCATGGTGCCCTTGTACTGCGCCATGCCTGCCAGTCAGCGCAGCCTAAGTCCCAAGGCCCAGTTCCTTCCTCTCTCCTCGGGGTTCCGGGCTAATTCCTGGATTCTATGGCAATAAGGAAAGAAACCTCAGTTAGAACCCACACAGCAGCTTCACAATAGAACTTTCTGCCATGATGGAAAGGTTCTGTCGCTGTGCTGACCCGGTGAAGTCACCAACCACGTGAGGCCACTGAGCACTGGAAATGCAGCTAGTGTCACCAAGGCAGGAGTGTTTCGTGTTTCCCTTTTACTTCAGTTAATTTAAATGGAGATGCCATGTATGGCTACTGGGCAGTGCAGGACTCGGTTCTGGGAGCTGCACGTGGAGACGGCTGGTCTGCAGGGCAAACCTTTATCTGTCCAGGTGCCTGGTCAAGCAGAGACATGCAAGAGCCAGAGCACTGGGAAAGCATGGGCCTGGGTTCATGAGTTTGAGAGGAAAATGTCCTCCCTGGTGGGTCAGGCTGGACCTGACCTCCTCAGCTGCATTACTCTCCTCCCTGAAGGATGTAAGCAAGGGGAAAAAGCCAAGTGGAAGTTCTAGCATGTATATTCCTGGAGGGTAGTGATGCTAGCCCTGGTTCCCAGAAATGTTACAGGCAGGGCAAGCCCTTGCTAGCTGCTGTCCCCTACCTCTTCCTAAGGAATCATTCATGCAGTAATTTGCTGAGTGCACCTTGTGTCAATGCTAAAGTTCACAGAAGCAATGTGGACCCTGCTGTGGGAAACAAGATTGGAGGAACTGTATGCAGCTGAGGAGGGCTAAGTAAAAATTGCCTTCTTGGTGTCTCAGTTAAAGCACAGTGAGGTCTTCTCCTAACTATACTGCATTCAACTTGAGTCAGCCATCTTCCATTAGGACCAATCCTATCCTACCTCATCCCTGCAGCTCCATCATTCCATGAACCCTCATCCTCGTGAACTCCACAAGCAATGGACATGCTCTCATCCAACCTGTCCCCACCTTCCCACACCCCTGAACACTTCCCTTGTGCCCTCTGGAACACAGTGCCTGGGAAGACTCTTGGAACCTCCCCTTTACCTTCTGACCCTGGGCTAGAGCCCAGCTGTTTCCTGGGGACACCACTTCTCCCACAGCTCTCTAATGCAGAGGATGCTTCTCTCTGATGATACACGTCACTGCAAAGTCTAAAAGTTTCGAAAGCATTTCTTTTCTTTAAGACTCCCAGCTCTTTCAAAGCTCACACCACCCAATACGACCCCACTCATTATCCTGCTGCTATCACCATTGGGATTCCCTAGTCTCCTAAATCCTTAAGGATCATTAGCACCTGGCTCAATCTCCTTCCTTTTGCATCCTTTATCCACATCATATCCTAAGAGTTAACAGCATGACCTACCCAGCTCCTCAGCCTCCTCACTTCCAAAAAGCTCTTTCCTTACTCCAATTCATTCATTCAGCTTGGCCTCTAAACACCATCACCATCCCCCACAATTAAAAGGTATAGCCTGGAACTATTGAAAAAGTTTAACGAGAAAAACAGAAAGAATCAGATTTATTCAGAGTTGACATCCTGATCTTTACTTTTCCCGAAGATCCAAGATAGTAACCTTCTTTTGTGCTGCTATTCTCCATCAAAAGTAACTCAGCAAGCTAAAAACTACTGCTTTACACTTTTTAAAATGTTATCAACAATAACAAGGATAACAAAAGAGAAAATAACAATCTGCTCCAATTAAGAGGAAGTGCTGATTAAATACAAAAATTTAATTTAGAGAAAATGTAACCACCTCCAGACTTAAGTCACAAGGTAAAATAATGTGCAAACAGCAGCAATTTTGTAAAAAATTCTACAAAACTAACACTTTTTTAACGGGAAAAAAGGACTCACTTGCCAATGTAAATAACAATAAAATTCAACAAAGAACCTCTTTCACCATGGTGTTCTACTTACCTTCTCTCAGTCTCAATTGTTATAAAAAGATTATTCTACAAGTGGAAGAGATACAATGCTGACTCTCCAGAGTCAACCATGAAATGGAACAGCAGAGGGTAGGCCATCATAAATAAAGGGCCAGCCCCTTCCTGGTCTGCCCAGACTGGGTCTAGGGCATGCTGTGATTGTATTCTCACTTAAGGATCGCTCTCAACACCAAAAGTTCTGAATTAACTGTCAACTCAAAGCCACAGGGTTTCACATCAACTGGATGCCAAAAAATAACTAGTAGATGATCTCTACAGAATTTTGCCACCAGACCAGAAGTCTTTCATGGGATTAAAGATGACTATAAACAGAGTGTTATTGCATGCTTTCTAATAAAAGGTTAAAAATGTCTTCCAATATTCACTTGCTGGAAAACCAGTATTTCAGCAAGCACAGGGTAGGAGGAAGAACTCTCATATGTTCAGAGACAAGGAAGTGCAAAATATATTAGCTGGGAAAAACTTAAACAAACAACCCGTGACTTTTGTATATGTTCTCTGGGGAAAATGAAGTCCAGATCAAACAAGGGAGAAATGAAACCTAATAGGAAATGTCAAAGGTTTCAAAATAGAATAGATACCAAAAAATGTCTCTAAATCTTGTGAGATTAAATTTTTCTTTTAACTCTTATCAAAGTAGCATACTTGGTATTAAAAAAAAAAGATTTGAGGGTGCAAAATGGCTTTATAGTCTTAGTTTAAAAAGGGGCACATGCCTGTACTCCCAGTTATGCTGGAGGCATAGGTAGGCAAAGAATGTGAGGCCCTAACTAAAAAAAAACTAAAGCAAAAAAGGGCTGGAGGTGTGGCTCAAGTGGTAGAGCACCTACCTAGCAAAAAGCCTTGGGTTTAAACCTAGTACCACCAGCAAAAAATAAATAAATCAAAAGTAATACTATGCTGGGCGCCAATAATCCTGCAATCCAAGCTACTTGGGAGGCTGAGATTGGGAAGATCCCTGTTCCAGACCAGTCCAGGGAAATAGTTCATGAGACCCCATCTCTAAACTAACCAGAGTAAACTGAACTGGAGGTATGGCTCAAGCAGGAGAGTGCCTGCTTTGCAAGCAAAAAGCCCTCAGTTCAAACCCTAGTCCCACCAAAATAAATAAATAAATAAATAATACTAAATCTATTATTTTCACAAACAAAACAAGGGTAAGCAGTTTCCATTTTATTGCTTTCTTCCCTAGAGACTAACAACCACTTTCAAACGTTTCAGATGTTTTTCCTGATATTTCTTTTACTTTTCAATAATGGCTTACAATGCTATTTTTGTGACTTATCTATTTTAGACTTTTCTTATTATGGTAAATGAAAATTTAATTTTTTCCTGTGATAGATCCAAATGTCTGGCCAACTTGTGAAGAAAAGGGTATTATGGAAGTTGTCAATATCTAAGCCAGCTAAGAAAAATGCAAGAAATTAAATTATATAGCAATCTTAATTATGAATGTAGTGGCAAAATAAATAATGACTCTAAGTCCACATTGTTCAGATCTACAAATAAACTATTCATTAATTAGCAGCATTCTTGTAAAATTCTGGCCATTGTGATCATTACAAAGGATAAACAAATAAATACTTTAGAAATAACAATTTTAGTTTTTATCTATTTAGTTGCATACCCATCTTCATATATTTACATAATTATTACTTCAGGTCCACAGTATTTTATCTGAAAAAATATCTTAAATCTCATTGTTTTAAAATTCAGGAGTCCAGGGTTGGTTGAGTGGCTTAAGTGGTAGAACACCTACCTAGCGAGCACAAGGCCCTGAGTTAAACTCCTAGTATCACAAAATAATAATAATAATAAATAATAATAATAATAATTTCTAGAGGGGAAACACACTTGTTCCTTATGTCTAAAATTTTTTTATAATTTTATTTTTAAAAAACCCAAATTAAAAAACAGTAATTTGTGAATATATATTCATATACATATGATTCTGTACTATATATGTGTATATATATGTATATATATTCATGACCATATACATAAGCCTGTTTGGCCATGTGTGTATGTATGTGTGTGCATGTGTATGTATATATATGTGTGTGTGCTTGCACAAATATGAACAAGTACGCTTTACTGAAAGATAGTTCAACACATTAACATTTTAATGCCTGTAGGTAAAACACAAAAGGAAAAATAGCAAACTAGAGTAGAAGAGAATTTTCTTAATTTGATAAAAGATGTTTTTGAGCCTACTGAAAATGTCATATTTAATAGTATACTTTTATGTCCTTCACCGCTTTCTCAAAAATAAAATTAAGTGAGCTGTACCTCCACTTACAATGGTACAGCATCGTCAACTGAAACGATCACAGGTGGCACGTGCATTCCTTCCCCACCCCCACAAGTTTCATAGCATCCTAGCTTCGCCACACAGGGCACTTGTGGAATATTGCCTGTGACCCCTTGCGATTGCGGGGCTGCCCAGCATCGACAGAGAGAAGCGGACCGCATACTGCTAGCCCAGGAAGAGATCCACGTTAAAAATTCCAAGTTCCGTTTCTACGGAATGCCTGTCCGTCCACATTATCCTAAGTGAGAAGGCGCTGCTGAGTGGAGCCCCAGCGTTAGCTGGGTGGAGCTAAGCACGTGCGAGGTGGAGCCCGGAGGGGACAGGAAGCGCCCGCGCTCCTTCCAAGCGGTAACTCTTGGGTGTTGAGATTACAGGGTGTCACCTGGCACACAGCTTTTAGGTCTCAACAGAGAAAGGAAGGGATGAGACGGCAGGGGGTGGCAAAGGGCAGCGCCTATGGAGAAAATGTCTGCGGGGGAAATCAGAGACCTGCTGTGTTAGGGAGCTTCCCAGAGACCAGGCTCTGCAGGAAAGGTTGACTTGAACTCACAGTTTTGCAGGTTCCTGCCCACCACTGATTGGTCCTGTGGCTTTCGGCCTGTGGGGGCACAGTATGTCTCCGAGGCAGCAGGAGGCACACGGCTTAGCCTCCCAGGGACCAAAGAGAAAGAATGAAGACTCGCGTCCCACAATCCCCTTCGAGGTGTTGCGCTGATGACCTCACTTCCTCCCTCTAAGCC